GCAAAACATACTTTGAAATTATCATGAACATGGTTACACTGTAAATTGAGCTCCCCGCTTTGGAGCCTGGCTCTTAAAAGCGTTTATAACATTAGTGGAAGAAGGATTCCCTGACGGAGCCACCACTCACCTCACGATCACTCTTTGCTCCACAACAGCCGTGCTCCAGCCCCGCCTCCCCCGCTGAAACTGCCCTGGTCAGGGTCCCCCCTGACTTCCATGCTGCCAGATCCAGTGGACACATCTCTGTCCCCATGGCCGACAGTCATCCACACTCCCCTTCTCGAAATAGCCTCTTGCCCTGTCATCCTCCCCAGTCTCTCTGTCTGGTTTCCCATCTCTCGCCTTTCTGCCTGAGTTTTCCTGGCTGGTCCCCAGGCCCTATTCCCCACCTTGCTACACTGTCCCTTAGGGTGACTCATCATTCTCATATGTATGAAGATGTTTATGAAGGTGACTCCCAAACTCACACAGCTGGCCCTGCCCTCTCCTCTGAGCTGCTGAAACACACACCCAGGTGTCCCCTTGGCACTGTTCCTCAGCCCCTGCCCACACGACTGTTCCTTCTCCCTGTGCAGTTACACCAGCCAGAAACCTGGTTTCCTCTCTGGGCCCTGAGAAGGGGCGCCAGGCATCAGCCCACTTCCCCCATCTCTCCTGCTCCTGCCCAGACCAAACCTCGGTCATCCTTACCAAGATGACTGCAGCACTTCCCACACCTCCATGCCCCAAACTTCCAAGCTTGCAAGACTCTCTAAGAGGCAGGCTTCACCTGGCAGAGGCTGGCATTTCCCTGCTCACAATCCTCAATAGTTTCCCCCTTGCACTTAGAAGAAAATCCAGACTTCTTTCCAGAGCCTGTGTCTTATTCTGCTTCTGCCTTCTGCAAATATTAAGCTCTTTTCTCCTGTTGCTCCCTCTGCCTGGGATGCGAGTCTTCCACTGGGCTAGCACCTTCCCAGCTTATTGTTTTAGCTGGAACCCCACCTCCTCCAGGAAAGCCTCTCTCATCATCATATCTAAAGTAGGTCCCCATATTATATTCTTGGTCTCAGCACCCTACTTATTCTGTAATAGAATGCTTCACAACTTACTTTGTTTTGCTTAGTTTGTCACTATCTGAATACATGTTTCGTGAAAGGAGGGGCTATGTCTTTTTTTCTTTTTATCCCCAGTGCCCACAGTGGCAAGTGACCAATTGAGTGAATGATTCACCATCTAAGCAGTAGTACCTGTGACCATCAAGGGGTGGCTCATAGCTATGGATCAGAATTGCCATCCGTTTGATAAATGAGTTGAAGGATAGTAAAGGAGTGACACACATGCCATCACTTTTCCATGGCAGGCACGGCTAACTTGGCACGACAACTAACCCCATTGAGCTTGTGTGCCTCTTCTCAACACATAGCGTGTCCTTCACCCACTAGCAACCTATCAGAGTTGGCATGGCCATCACTTTTCCATGGCAGGCACGGCTAACTCGGCACGACAACTAACCCCATTGAGCTTGTGTGCCTTTTCTCAACACATAGCGTGTCCTTCACCCACTAGCAACCTATCAGAGTTGGCATGGTGATGGAATAAGAGACCATGAAATGTTGATAGGCTTTTAAGATGCCTGCTGTAAAACAATCTATCGGGAGGAGACTAAATCAGATGTTAGAGGACATTGCCAAAGATCAGACTAAACATGTTCAGCATCTTTGGCTACTAGGGAAATGCAAGAAAAACCACAGTGTGATACCATGTCACACCCACTGTTACCTAATGCTAAAGCAACAAGTAAGTGTTGAGTATTCATGTGCAGATACTGTCATAGAAACCTTCTTGATAATATAGATAAGTGTGATCAAAGGTAATAGATATTCAGACCACTGGATTTCTCACTAACCCAGTAAAATAACTAGTATTTACTTTTTGTTGCTTTACTCATTTAAAATCTCTAGCAACCCTGTGAAGTAGGAATTATCAGTGCTGTTTGGAAAAACAGGATGGGGAGCTTTTTGGCAAATGATGAGCCCAGCTTTGTACTCTAGCCTCTGACACTAAATCTATCCATCTTTTCCACGTGGCTGACCATTTGGAGGCCTGGTTCATCCCAGGACATTTCAAAGCAGGTAGCTTGCCTTGCATGATTCTTGGTTGATTCTGTAATTAACCACCATAAGTTATCCTTTTCAACTCTACCCAATGACTTCTTTGATGAAATACTACAGGGCAATAGAGTCTAATAAGTAGCAGATGGCCCAGAAGAATGACATTCCATTCCTCCACTGAGCCTGTGGTTCAAAACACCTCATTTGCTCAGAGTAAACTCTGGAGGACATGGCACAAGCCAGTGAGTTTTAAAATGTCATTGGAATTTGCAGTCCTGTGTATTAGAAAACAGAACTCATGAAGCTCAAGTGATCCTGTGGATTGAGTTGAAAGAGCTTTTTTGATCCCCAAAGACTTTCCTTCCTGGACATTTAATCCCATTTAATTTAGTGTCTCTGAAATATCAATATAAGCCAGTCAATTTGAGGCTGTCTTATATTGTTGACAGATTTCAGAGCTGTCAGTGAATGAGCACAACTTCTGCTCTAAATCTAAGAGACTTAATAACATCTTCCTTCCTTGAGAAAACACCCCTCTTCTGTCTCCCTGTAAACATTTTATTCAGCCAAGTTGCACATAGGCTATTTTGGCCTGTAGAATTGTTAGGCTCTTCCTTTCCAATACTGGACTCAGCCTCCCCTTATTATCCAGTGTTTAAACTACCAGTAAGTACTGGGCGCTATGCAGAGCAGTGTGAGTGCCCCATGTGTGAGCCAGCTAAGGGCGCCCAACAGCCAAATCTGCACACACCCTTTGAATTGTCATGGACAGATGTTTATGATATGTTGTTAAGTGAAAAAAGAGGTTATAAAACCATGCATAGATTTCTAAATCTAATAGCAGGATGAGATGAGCTGGTAAGATGCTCTTTTACTAAAAACACATTAAAATGCTAATAAAATATAAAGTTTAATATAAGAAAGGAAAAATGTTTGTAAATTATATGTCTGGTAAGGGATTTGTGTGCAAAATATATAAAGAGCTCTTACAACAATAAAAGACAAATAATCTAATTTAGAAATGGGTAAAAAATTTGAATTGATTTTTCTCCAAAGACGGTATACAAGTGGCCAAATAAGCACATGGGAAGATGTTCAACATCATTAATCATTAGGGAAATGCAAATCAAAACCACAATGAGATCCCACCTTACACCTCCTAAAGTGGCTGTAATCAAAAGGCAGATAATAACAGTATTGGTAAGGATGTGGAGAAATTGGAACCCTCATGTTTTGCTGGTGGAAATGTAAAATGGTGCAGCCATTTGGAACATAGTCTGGAAGTTTTACAAAAGGTTAGACATAGTGTTACCATATGACCCATCAATTTCACTACTGGAATTGAAAATATAAGTCTAACATGAGAATATTTTCTCCCATTCTGTAGGTTGTCTGTTTGCTGTCATGATAGTTTCCTTGGCTGTGCAGAAACTTTTTAATTTGATCAGGTCCCATTTATTTATTTTTGTTGTTGCTGTGATTGCCTTTGGGGTTGTCTTCATAAATTGTTTGCCCAGGCCAATGTCTAATAAGAGGTTTTCCAACATTTTCTTCTAGAATTCTTATAGTTTCATGCCTTAGGTTTAAGTCTGTTATCCACCATGAGTTGATTTTTGTGACAAGTGAAAGATACAAATCCTGTTTTAGTCTTCTACATTTGGCTATCCAATTTTCCCAGCACCATTTATTGAATAAGGATTCTTTTCCTCAGTGTAAGTTTTTGTCTGCTTTGCCAAAGATCAGATGGCTACATGAGGATGGTTTTATATCTGGGTTCTCTGTTCTATTCCATTGGTCTATGGTCTCTGTTCTTGTGCCAGTACGATGCTGTTTTAGGTACTATTGCCTTGTAGTGTAGCTTGAAGTCAGGTAAATTGATGCCTCCCAATTTGTTCTTTTTGCTAAAGATTGCTTTTGCTATATGGGGTCTTCTCTGGGTCCTATTCTGTGTTGAATGTCCTGAGTTTTCATATCATTGGAAAGTCAAAAAACCACAGGCTGAATCATAGTAAGTAGGTATTGTCTATGTTTTACTTCTACTATAATAATGATATAGTAATAGTAAAATAGTAATAAAAATAATAGCAATAGAAAGAAATAATGTTTCTACCATTCTTTGTGGGCCCTCAGTTTTGTAGCAGGACAAACAACTCAAACTTACCAATTCAGAGCAACCTGGTTACTTTCAGTTAGTTTTCTCCCAGGTAACTTAGTCTGTTTGGGGCATAATCTCATCTTTCAAGGATTCTCCTTTCCCTCTCCCTGAGCACAGGGAAGAACGTATGCACCATCACGTTATGCATTAACATGGCTGGCTATGTGCCCAGTGTGACCGTGAGCTTTTTGGAAGAAGGAAATCGTCTTGTATCCAACTCTGACTCACCAGTGCCTTGATCTGCTGTCACCCAGAGAATTCTTATTGACTCACATTGATCTGAAAGCTTTTAAAATCCCTGGATACTTCAGTTTCCAGGAATGTTAAATAGGGCCAGGGTTGTATTTATCATATTCCCAGCAGGACTGTTGTGAGGATTAATGTTTTATCATAAGTGATCTCTTGCTCCTTTAAAAAGGCATTAAGTTAAAGGTTTTGTTTTTTAAAGATGTGCTTATTAGTTTTTTAATGATCTGTGTCTCCATGTAGTCTCTGAAATATAAGAAATGAGGCGTTCATGCTTTTCTCTTAGAAAAAAATGGCATACAGGAACGCAAAAAACTGACCCACCATTAGCATTCCTCTCTAGACATCATGTTATGTGGTTGATCTTTCTGAGTTTTGTTGTTCTACAGGAAGGTCCTATCTGGTAGCTTGGCCTAAGGGAGGGTCAGGGTGAGGTGCCTTGGGGAGACAGACCCAACCTGATGTGTTATTTCTCTGCTCCCCTCTCCCCCGCCATCTCTCAGCGAGCTGAAGCAGAAGTTGGATGAGGAAGGCAGCAAGTGCAGCATCCTCTCGAAGCACCAGCAGTTCGTGGAGCACTGCTGCATGCGCTGCTGCTCGCCCTTCACCTTCCTTGTCAACACCAAGCGCCAGTGTGGGGACTGCAAGTTCAACGTCTGCAAGAGCTGCTGCTCCTACCAGAAGCATGAGAAGGCCTGGGTCTGCTGTGTCTGCCAGCAAGCGAGGTGAGTGACCTGCGCACCCCCAGGGTCTGCGCTGGTGGCACCCGCCACTTCCTTCAGCCAGGTAGGACCAGCAGGGATTGACAGATCAGCACGGAGTATAGACCACAGCAGAAGGATTGCTATAGAGAGATGTGAACTGGTTAAGGATGACCACTGACCTTCACAGAGAGGAAGACCTCAGGGAGCCCTGGGTGTAAGTAGAAAGGAGAGGTCTTGGAATTGAAGGTGCAGCTCCCTTGTGCTTCATCCATCCTTCTGCAGTTTCTCATCTGGTCTCATCCTTTCATTCATTCCTTCCAGAAGCATGTTGGATTCTTAGGGATTATGCTGGGTGCTGGAAACGTGATGGTGAACTAGGCAGAGTGCTAGTGACTCGGAGTGTAGGGTGATGATGGGATTTGTGAGTGTTGGTCTCACTGTGTTGACACGTGCCCTGACCAATTTGTCATTGGCCGTGGGGGACACTGAGAAAGGAGTGACTGGCCCTAGTGCTTGGGGAAAGCTTCACAGAGGACAAGAAATCAAAGCAGGATTATAAAAGATAAAAAAAAAAAAGAGTTATTACTGTGAAAGGGAAGATGAAGACCACCACATTAAGGAAATGATTAGCATGTCAGTTCTTATCCTCCCTCAGCGACCAGCAGAGCATTTGTTGGATACATTGTGTATTTACAAACTAATGAGTTTGATAAGCCAGCACCTGGAATTCCTTGGAATTCTTAAGTCTTTGGGGATGCTAGCATCTGTGGAGCACATTATGATTCGGATCTTCTGCTTCCATAATGCCTGTTGCAGTGAGCAAGACTGAGACTGGCTGGCCCTGAGAGCATGCACTCAGGAGCTCCTGCCACCCTTGTCTTTCCCATCTTTCCCTTTCTCCTCCCCTTGTTCTTTTTACTTATATTCTTTAACACATCAAGTCCTAGCATTTTCCCATAGAACTAGTTAGTGGAGACAGCTGCTGTGCTCCCCCAGGGTCTCCAAGGAGTCAGTCTCTGGGCTGTAAATAACAAAGGAGGCCACAGACACCAACTGAGGCAAAAAGTGGTTTGCTGAGCACCAGTATCAAGGACTGGCTGCTGCCCAGGTCTTGCGTCTGACTTTCAGAGCAAAGAACATAGCCACGTCTCCACGAGGCAGCTTGATGGGAGGAGGAGACACCCTGTGACAACAAGGGGATGGAGGAGACTCAGATGTGGATGATCTTGTCTTTGGGAGTGGTGGATGGACAGCGGTTCGTCCGTGCCTTCCATTTCTCAGTAAAGGGTGGGCTAGGGCCAAGCACTTGAGAACAAGAGAGTTGGGTGTTGGAAATAATCAGAGTAGGTTTGACATCGGCATTACAGGAGTTAGAGATCCAGGCTTTTGAGCCAAGTTCTAGTAACTAATCATGAGTCTGTTTGCTTTCAACCTTCCCATGGCATGTTTCGCTCCAGCCACACTCACCTGCCCAAGTGCAAACATGACGAGCGTAGACAGTTGGTTTATTACTGGGTTGGGAGTTTTCTAGGGTTTGGGAAAGGTCAGAGGGTGATGGAGTTTAGGCTATTAGATAGTGAAGAAAGTCCAGACACACTCTGGACAATGAGGGAAGTAAAGACAGAAGGTGCTATGGATGGATGGGGAGGATGTGAGGGGCTCAGTCAACCAGAAGTCCCTGGTAAAGTTGAAGAACTGTCACAGAGTGGGTACTTAACAAAGCAAATCAGAAGAAAAGAAAATTTTGTGCAGGGAGGAAGATGTTTGAATGAGTGATTTCCAAAGTGGATTAGTTGGGCAGTTGTTGGGAATAGGAGATGAAGTCTAGACAAGGATGTCAAGGAACTGAAAAGTTAATACCCATGGGTTCTGAAATGACCAGGTGGTGATAGTGGTATGGAGGTGAAGAATGAGGTAGGGGGCAAGTTTTTCTTGAGTGAGAAGGAGGAGCTAAAAGGTCAGGAGGTGACAGAAATAAGAAGTAGAAGAGTGTGGGATGACTGAATGTCATGATTCTGCACCCGGCAATTTGGGTGAGTCTTGCACAGCACTGGGCTCAAACATTGGCCATGGCACCACTGTGCTACCCTGGCATTTGTTACCAGCTGGTGGTGAATGCTACCAGGACAGGGACCTTGTCTTCTTCAGCTCCATTTGTAACACCAGACCCTGATGCATAGAAGGCACATGGGTCTTCGTGAGCCAAAATTAGAATAGGACAATGTCCAGTAGCAGCCAGATGCATGGTATAAGATGAAGCTTTAGGAATTTTAAAGAGGAAAGGATCCGGGGAGTATTAGGTATCCTAAAGAGGTTCTGCAGAAAAGAGAATCCCAGATGGAACTCCAATGGAGAGGAGGAATCATGAGGCATTGTCAAATAAGGTGTGGCATGAGCAAAGAGGCAGGTGCCCCCGAGGAGCATGGAGGACCTGCAGCAGACCACGCTGGCAGTGGGAGGATGGTGAGTCATTGGGTCAGTTCATGAGAAGAATCTGGGTTTGATCCTCAGAGTGTGGTGCAGTCACTAAAATTTCAAACCCTACCAGTTATTAAATATGCTATTCTTTATTGTGCCTCAACATACTCACCCATAAATGGAAAGAAGTATTAGTATCTACAGTTTTGTTTCTTTCAATGTTTCTCTTTTCCTTTTTCCACTGAGTCAGAAAAATCTCCAAATTTAATACGGTTAGTAGCAATAAAATATGCAGTCACAGCCTCTGGACCCTACATTTACCCTAAGTTGTATGTGGGGATCTTTTATTAGTTATAATTAAATGACATATTGCATTCCCGTGCACAACCTCAGAATCATCTCTCTTACAAAGGGAAGAACCTTCCTTTGCAAAAGGATGAAGATCTTCTGATTCAAATCCTTTACTGTTTTGTTTATACTATATGACTGCAAGAAATTGCCAGATATTGAAAAATAAGTTGTAAAGAGGGCAGAAAATGTCTGCTAAGGCTACATTTTAAATTTCCACTTCATAATTCTAACAAGTTAATGAGAAGGTAATCCCAGTTAATTTAATCTTTTATTGCATCCATCAACATTGCATAGCAGCTCCTGAGTTCAGAAGTAGAACACTAGGAAATAAAGGACCATTCATAGAAAGATACCTGAAAAGACATGCAAAAACTAGTGTATGCGCTTGAAGCTCTGACTCCCGGTGTGGGGGAAAGAGGGGAAAGGCAACACACGTAACCTAAACACTTGTGCCCGCATAATATGCTAAAATAAACAAAACAAAACAAAACAACAAGAAAAAAAACAGTGTATGCTTGTTCCATTTTTTTTTAAGGAAGTGGGGGGTTAATGAGTAGTCTTCCACCCTCTGTGCATCTAGCTCAGAGCACACCCACACTTGTTTAATCAAAGCTGGCAAAAAAGGGACACTGAGGAGAGATTGGGAATGTTGCTGTTTTAATCTCATATTATGTCTTCGGGATGTTTCCAGGGTTTGGGGATTATTGTTGGCTGAAACCAAAACAGATGGAGAAGTTTAGTCCATTCCCTATTTTTCCATATTATTCAAGTCAACCTCAGGAAACTGTCTAGGGGAAAAATCCATGAGACGTGGCACATTTTTGCTCCTTGAAATTTCTCTAAGGCCAAATTTGACGGAGAAGTACATCTGGGTCACGGTACTGCAGATGTACGGCCTGGGGGCCGACAGTCTTTTATGTTGTAGCTGGATCGTGTTCCTGGTTTTTGAAGGGTTCGTAAGAAGAGTTTATTTTATTCGTAGTAGAGCAGCCAACTGCATAAACCCTTAGCATTGCACACAAGAGCCATAGCCAAATTCATCGTGTAAAACATTTAAGGAATATTTTGACTTGAACCAAGTATGAAAAATTTCAGATAAATAACAACTTCCAAAACCTGCCCAATTTTTTTTTTGAAGCTGAAAAATAGTTTACAACAGATTGTTGAGACTTTATTTTTTTTTTTTATTTTATTTTATTTTATTTTTTTTTGGAGAAATGACACTTCCAGGTATGTTGAGACTTTAAATGCATATTTTACCCTGGCAAAAGCCAGCCTCGGGCTGGATGGTGGCAGTGTGGACTGCCCACTGTGCTGTCGTCCACTTTGTCTAGGGGCCCCTCTGCCTGTCAGTTGATCTGCAATGCCTCCTTGGTCAGCAGTGAATAACTTCAGCCATGAATCTTTGTGCCGTTCTTCCATCATATTCATATTCAAGCAAGTAGGTTTCTAAAACATTGTGAATGTCAGATTCCAGGAAGAGCACATTTTGTGTGTTTGTGTGTGTGTGTACATACGTGTATGTGTGAAATCTCAGTACATTAGTCGATAGCAGCTCTGTGAAACTGCACAGATGACCACTTTAGCAAGACCCATATTCTCTCCCCTCTACCCACAGTGTACTTTTTCTTTCCTTATGCAAATTAAGCCCATTTTTGTTGCATCGGTTTAATTTATAGCTGCTTACCTAATGGCTACCACAAGTATATATTTTCTTGAGATACTATAGGCCACGAATAACTATAATAAAATAATTCTTGTCCACAGCAAATTATGGAGCTAAGAGTTGAGGGCTGACATTCATGTGACAATATTAGCACATAGCCTCAGAAGTAAATATTAATATCCGTACTGATAATTAATATAATTGACTGATATACTGATAATTAATAATTAATATCCGTACTGGGCTTGTCTATGATGCAGCTCTAAATGAGTGAGTCAGATTATGACACAGATTCATCAGAAGAGGGCTCAGAGTATCAAGTCACTAAAAAAAAGTTGATAATCTATAATTTCTTTTAATCTCAATGAAAAAAGTCTACATGTCCTGCTGTTCTATTTATTTAGTTCATTGAAAGCATTTTAAGAATTTTAAATGAAAATTCCCATGTAATGGTCATTGCTGTAGTTATAATCATATGGTTGGTTCCTCATCAGTCATTTTGCTCCATCTGTTTTGCATTAAAATGTATTTCTGTTTGTCAATATCAGTTTAAACTTTTTAGCTTTGGTAGAGTAAAAAACATTAA